GGATGCAGACCACTTCTCGCGGCCATTGAGGCTCGGGAATGAGTCATTCCGCCTTTGACTGGTGGCACATTAGCGCTGCGATTGGCATAACTTTCCTGTTCCCTCGGACAGGAACTGGGGCTGTACAATCAGGGAGTGTCGTTACATCATCGGAGCGTGTGGGAATGTAGAGAAGGCTTGCATAACGCAAAAGCTCTAATTTTTTTGAGCGTTAACCTTAATTGCAATTAAAGCTGATACTTCTGATGCTCAGGACAGAAAGTTTAATGCACTATTTATCCATAGATTTGTGGTAGCCACTTGAGTGCATTTCATGTAACTGAGACCTTGTTTTCAGTCAGTGCTCCTGGGCATGTTACTTGGTTACTTTGGGCCATAAGAAAGTTAATAGTTGGTCCGGTGCTTTTCTAAATATCAAGGGTATCATTGGATGCTGACTTGGTTAACCTAATGATTTTTTTTTCAAACCATTGGTATGTATGAGTTGATTAAAAAAAAATAGCAGAGGCTTCTTAAATATAGTCTGTTCTGAATTAAAGGGTGTGGTGTTGGCTTTGAATGAGCTTGATGCAGCAACAAGCATGCAGCAGTTGGTAAATAAAGATGGATTTTCTTTTGTTCTGCTGGTGCTTGCTGCTCATTATTCTCCACTTACCCCGTGAGCTTCCCAGGGAGTGGCAGCTGTTTCTGATGTTAGACACTCTATCAGTGGTAGACAGCTCCAGATTCGGTGAGATACTGTTGTGGGGAGGAGAGGAAAATAACCTAACCCTGCATTATTGTAAATCCTCAGTAGAATTAACTTTTCATGAACCGAAGGAGTTTTGTGTTTAACTTTTTCTGAAATATTCAGGCATAAGCGTGCTTTGCAGTATGCATTACAGCGAAGAAGCTTTTCTGGCATGAGATGGATTTACATTCTAAGTGTGTGTTAAGTATTTTAATGTGCAGTGTGTGGGGGCAGACACAAGGCAATAAAGGGAAATCAGTCTATAACTATCTTTGTGTATGTTTCCAGATATATACAGTTTGGGATTCTTTGCAATTTGGAAATTGCTTGGAGTAAACAGAATGGTACATAAAGATTTTAAATAATAAAGCTAGCAAGCTACAGAGGAGTCTATTTGGTTCCAGGATTTTATATGTAGGATTTATAACCCATGCTTTTGCTTTCCTGTGTCTGCAGTGTTAGCATTCTGTTACTGAAAACAAAGAAGGCTCTGCCAGGGCATTACACAAGCAGTGAATCACAGAGGAAAAAATGTTTTGCTTTGTAAATTGTTCACTTTTCCATGGTGGATCTTTTTTTTTTTTTTTTTCTTTTTTTTAGTGTTGTCTGATAAAATTTGCCACACATGCTTGCATTTACTGTACTCGGTACAATTCTTTCTAGTGTGACTACATAACTGCTAATATTAGTGAGTTCAAGTAACTTCTTGCTTGTGATTCTTAAAAACAAAACCGCAACAGGAACAAAAAACACAGGGCACAAATTGAAACAGCTCAGTTCACTCCTCAGGCATGACAGCTTGCTGAGTATATCGGAGAAAGGAAAAGGTGTTGATGTTTTTCAGACAGCTTTGTCCCAACAGTTCCACATAATTATTTTTTATCTGTATTGACAAACTCCTTTTCTGCCTAAAGTAGTCAGTTTTGCTGTCACGACTGATGTGGTCCTCATGGGTTGTAGGCCATTTATAGTGTTTTGTCTAATCATAAAAATATAAACTTGTTTCTGAAGAATACGCACTTTGTACATTTTTTTAATGACTGTGTTTGTGAATCTGTGTGTCCAAACTTCTGTAGAGGAACTATAGTTTGCTCAGGTTTGAATGTAAAATTATACTTGGAGGTTATCTATTTGGGAAGTCACACACCAGGCAGTGTCTTGCCACTTTGCTGCAAGATGCAGAAGTACAACCTCAGTGTGTTATATAATAAAAATTTATACCACAGATGCTGGACTGTACCTCATACTGTCCTTGGCAAGAGCAATAACCAATAATATGTAGGCTTCCATATTACAGGATTCATTAAGCTCCAGACATGTGGAAAAGAAGTTTAAATAAAATCATGTTATCTATTTGCAAATGAGAAAGGTGGTTCAGGAACTAGAACCAGCTAAAGCAATGGCTAAGGGAAGATCCAAGTAGAACGATCCTTGCAAAAAGCCTGGCAGTAATGAAATCCTTGATTTTTCACGGAGAAAGAGTGAGTGTGGAGGAGGATGCTATATATATGTATGGAGTGCACCAATTTAAAGACTGTGTGATTAATCCTGTTAGATGATGTGTTTCTAACAGAGAAACAGATCGGTGGGGATAAAGCTGTAAAAAAGTATGAGAGCCAAACATAAGCATCTAATCTAAGAGGAAGAGTCTTCTGTGACAGTACAGTGTAATTTTGCGTAAAATTATGCGTGCTTCACTGAAAATAACCAGATAATAATTTCAGAATCTGCAAAAAATAAATGTCCCCTCTGTAAATGCCAATGGGAAAGATGTGTAGCACAAATTAGGGAATAAGGGAGGTGGAAACTCTGTCTTGCCCCTGTTCAGATATTTTATGTCCCATCAAATCTGTATTTAGTCTTAAGTGCAGGTATCATAAGGGGTATGTGGTGGTTCCTAGGTCTCCTGGGCGTGCTTTATGCAAGAAAAGAAAATACCAACGAGTCAGGTATGTAACAGTGTGTTCCAAAATTGTGATAGTCTGGACAGCCACGTCCCTGACCTGCTTACCTGGCAAACCTCTAGTCAAGAGCTGGGCTGAATGTGCCACGTATCTTCTTATCCCTGTAGTCACATCTGTGGTGTAATAGTAATGAGATTGGAGTAATCTCACTGATCTGAGCTGAGTTGGACTGATAATTTAAATGTGGAAGGCTTCATAATCTCCTTCTGATCCCAGAAAGTTTTCAGCTTTTAATTAAGGTCAGAATTAAAAAGATACTGACAACAAAACCTTCTACATTTACCTCCTTGCTTATAAATGTTAAACCATGACAGCTGTAGGTGAGTTCTGAAATTCCTGGAGCAATGATGACACTTTTGTAAACCCCTTATAGGTTAGTGTAAGACTTACAGCGGTAACAGACGTCTCTAAAAGAAACACTGAGAAGGTTTATGCACCTTCCTTTTCCTCTCCCCTTTCTTGCTCCATACCTGTTTCCTCAGTGCAAGTGGATGTTTTCTGCAGACATGGCCACTGCAAAGGTAGCTCTGTGCAACTCTCTCCAACAGTTCGGTAACTCTTAGTTTTTTTGCTTTAAATAGAAAATGAAAAGCCCAACAAGGACTAAACAGGTGAAAGCAGCTGGTTGGGGGTGTGTGTGCCCGTGGCCGCGTGGTTTGGGCTTCGGGGCTGCTTCTGCTTCAGTGTGCAGGAGGGGACGGGATGGATGTGAACAGAGAAGTGACACAGCTGGTGCCCAAAGCAGGGTGAAACTGCACCACAGACGGAGAGGAGGACTCTGGGGAGAGGAAGGAGACAAAGCAGCTGCAAGGGAGTTCCTGGGGCAGGGTGCACTTCACTGGGAGAGAAATTACTGGCAGAGGAAAGCTGAGCAGCAGGAAAAGAGGGTGTGAGTGGAGCCTGGGAGAATAGGAGAGCAGCAGAAGGTTGCCAGAGCCAATAAGTCTGGTGAGCCTCCTCCTCTCACTGCTCTGGGTGGTTGTTTGAAGAGTTTGCCAGCAGATGAACCTGTGGGCACTGGGCACCAGGCACTTCAGGGCAGCACCATGGGGTGCACAGGCTGGAAAAGGAACTTGGCTCCTACTGTGCTCCCTCGTCCTCTCACCAGTGTTGAACAAACAAGTAAGAAACCATACTCAAGAGAGGAGGGATAGCTGATGCTCAGCTGTGGGTGCTTTGTAGTGACCATTTGTTTTTAATTTTTTTAAAATCAGTTGTTGGGGTGAGCAGAGTTGGAAAAGTGTGGCCAATAGTGTGATTTGAATAACATCTTGAGTGAGGTTTTTATGACTCAGTTGAATAGAAACACTACTGCAGGACCTTGTAGGACCTAGAGGGGCAGCTTGGCACCGTGAAAAGCTATTTGAGGTTCTTGAGAGACTGCCTGAGAAGACAGTCTGGTCAATAAGCAAAAAGCCTAGGCATATTGACAGTCATCCAGAAGAGCCACAGGTGGAACCTCTCTCTTCCTTACCTGAAGACCAGTATCTTACAAATAAATCCCGTAAATAACTGAGGTTTTGATGTTTTGATCAACTTTTTTCTTTTATTTCTACTGCTGGACGTTTGGAATGTGGCTGTAACACAGTCACACACCTATGCAGGTTACTCAGACAAGCAGTAGCATGGTGTCAGCAAGGGATATTTTCTCTGACAAAGAAAGGTGGCATATCTTTCAGAATAGATGTTTGTTTTCTTCTTTGTGGTGGCTATACATCATCCAGTGTTTTCCCCTTCATATTGTGATATATCATCTCATGTTTCACGCTTGAGATATTGTGAGAGGAGTGAGTGATGTTATGTAACATAAGCAGAGAATTATCTTCTTACGGTCTAAAAGTGACTGTTGGTTTGATAAAGCCGTTGACTAATTAGTAAATTACCCATTGTTGTTTAAAATACTTGCGCTGCAAAATGTAAATGAAAAAAATTTCTCCACTTGTCAGTATGAAAAATGACAATAGCAAAAATAATACATAGGACATCTGCTCTGATTTTTTTTAAATTTAAAATGCATTTAAGGCAGATGTTGCAGAATTTGAATGGAAATCGGAGTAGATGGAAGAACAAAACATAGCTGTTTACCTTCTATGAAGTCCCATTTTTATGGTTAACATTGCTAGCAGTATCTGACTCAGTGCCTGTATTTTTCCACTGTTTGTATCAGACTGAACTGAATGTTCTTAAAACTGCTGCTGTCAGAATGACATGTAGTTTCAATATTAACAAAAAAAAAAATTATCGGTGAGTCAGTATTTTGGGGTGCTTTCTGATGTTCTCACCCTTTGCCCATCCTGTCTCTCCAGGAGAATACATCAAAACGTGGAGGCCACGGTATTTTCTCCTAAAGAACGATGGCACGTTCATTGGCTACAAGGAGCGACCGCAGGATGTCGACCAGCGGGAATCACCTCTAAATAACTTCTCAGTAGCTCGTAAGTGTTTTTACCTGCTCCCTCGTCCAGTTTGGGGGTCGATGTTTTCTTGTAGTCATAGCTGGTAAGCTGCACCTGTAACATTCAGATCTGCCCCGAGTGATGTATCTAAACACTACAGGTGTTTATTTGAGATGATAAACCCCACTGTGTCTCTCAGGAATGACTGTGATGTGGGGGTTTGATGCTCTGCTTTTTTTTTTTTTGCCTTTTTTTTTTAACCAGTTTTCTACTAATTTACCATTCCTAGTTATCTAATATAATCAATCTATTTGTTAATATTCTGTATGTATGTTATTCAGCAAGTTGCTTTAAAGTGGAAATTAACCCAGGCACGTGTCCCAGTACTTGACAGGTAGGCACAACTGAAGCAGTTCAGCCTCTGTTCTGCCACCAGGTCTGAATTCCAGTGGCATTAACATAGGTCAAAGTTATTTAATTGTTAGCACAAGAGAATGCAGAGTGAGCACTGGTTTTAATGAAACAAGCTTGATTTTTCTTAATTTTGAACACAAAACCATGTTTCTTCTATTAAAGCCAACAAAAAGATTTGGAAATAATAACATCTCCTAACCTCTGCACTCTCTCCTATGCAAACATTTCCGACTTTACTCAGGTGCTGCAGCACAGGATGTGATAGAAGACTCTGAAGATAATTTCCTTCTCTTGCTCATGTTTTTAACCTTTCTCTGTATACTTCCAGCTTTTATTTTCTCCTGTTCTTAATCTTTCCTGTCTCATGATCTGCCTGTGTCTCGTTCCACCACTTAAAAATAGATCGTGGCACCTGTTATTAACAACGATCTGTTCCGTGTTCCTGGTGACTAGTGGGAGCAAAGCTCTGCAGCAAGAAGGGTGTAGGGGCTTTCCCTCTTCCTTACAGATAGCTTCAAATACATGGGATTCATCTTTGTAGTTGATCATTAAGCAGATTTTTTGGAACACCCTGGTCCTAAGAGGGCTGGGCAGCACTAGGAATTAATGCAAATGTTTGTTATTTTTCCTCCGGTAGCAGCATATACCTGTTCTGACTGATGATGGGAATAAATAGTGGACGTGCTGTTGCCTGGTGCTTCTGTGCAGGATGCTAAGAGTGCTTTGGGGCTTTTTGCCTCGTTTTAGAGAGAGAATTGTCATAGTGTTTTCATTTCAGTAATGACAGTACTTTCCTCTTTAGACTGGTATCTCCTTACAGATCAAGAAGGTAAAGAAAAGCAGCGGAAAGCCATTAATTCATAAATTAATTCAGTACTTGGTCTATAGCCAGAGGCTTTTAACAAATGCACTTTCTGCAGGACACTTCCATCCTCTTGCTGCTAACTGCATTTACTTGGGCAGCTCAGTGCTAAGGAGTAAAAATGTGTCCATTGCCTTCTCTTTGTTCAAGTTGCCTTCAAAACTAGTTAACTTAAATAGGTTTTCACAACAGGAATATAGTGCTTTTTCTGGCAGATTGAGCCCATCAGTCTCAGCATTTATAGATAAACAGGTTTGTTACCATGGCATCAGAGCATGGTCGGAGAAGATGCGGCATGTGCCTGTGGATAAGGTGTAGCCCTTCTAAGAGGCATTGCAGGCTGGGTGGTGGGTGGGAGGTCGTTCCTGGACTGGCTCTTGCCTGGTGAACTAGTGGCAGATCAGGAAGGTCTTGATGATTGGCGTGTGGCCTCCTTGCTAGAAGTCATTTTTGTGGGTTTGGGCTCACAGAAGCAGCTGTTTCCCCACCAGGATTTAATTTCTCACATAGGAAGTAGCACGTGGTGCTTCCAGCACCTGATGTGCAGTTCCCTTCTGGGTGCCCTCCACACTTCTATTGTTTGGATGTTTTGCACCATAAGCTTTCCCTTTGAACCTGCTTGCCTGATACATTCATTTGGGTTAATTTGTTGAGTTAATGTGAGTGAACTCGAGCTGTCTCTAGAGGAAGGCTCAGGCCAGAGCACAGGCCTATAGAAGCCTCCTGCTAGTGAATGGTGGGGGGAATTTAGCTTAAATATTTTGTAAAAATTAATCCTTCTGTTTTCTTTTCCTCCAAGAGACCATGATAGCCCTGACTTTTTTTCTTAATTAGTGAACTAGATTTTTTTTCTTAATGAGATGGCAGGCTGTCTCTGTCAGTCTGTTCTTTGGAAGTGGTCCCATGTCTCTGATTAAAATCTTTACCTCTTCTGCTGTAATATAATGTAGGCATTTTTATCTTTGCAAGTAAAAGGAGTTTTTTCATGAGTAGGGGACTCTTCTTACTTGTAGTATAAAATTCGTATTGAGTGATTTTGGCAGTCCATGAGAGGTAGAAAATACTCCATTCATGAGAAAAGAGTGATAGAAGATACCAATTACCTGTCTTTTTCCTTAACAGATATGAAGAAAGTATTAGCAATAAACAGTGTGCTCTCCATGTGTTTGACAGTCTCTTCTTTCTGCTACACTAGCCTTTTCCTTTCAATCTGTGAGGGTTTTGATAGTACATTTTTGAAAACTTGTTTCTAAGCCCCTCTAGGTAGAGAGAGGCTCACTATTTATTTAATTTAATTAACTTTTTCTCCAGCTAATTCTCCATTTTAAATAGCCATATATTTATGTTTGTAATTTAATGCTGTGCTTAAGGAGTTTATTTTGTCTGGAATTAACCTACTGGTGATTTATTTAAAAAAACCCCCAACAACAAATAAACAACAAGCAAACCCCAAAAAAACAAAGCAGAACTTCTGAATGATGGTGCCTGAGCATTTAACTGAGATATTTGAGTCTTATTTGCGTTTGTGTTCTGTACTTCACCACTAATAAGATAGAAGGAAAAAAGAAGCCTGTACCTAAAAGTTCTGCTCCAAAGCCCCTGCAGATGAATAACCAATAGAGCCTGTGTTGTAAATCTGTGAGATAAGTAGCCTTCATACTGATTGTAATCTTGGATTATCATGTATGTCTCCCTATTAGGTTATAAGCCTTTAAAACCATATAGCTGAGAAAAGCAGTATATTGTGAAAAACCACATGGAGAGAGAGGCTGTTCCTGTTAGAAAAGGATTATTTCTCCCGGCTGTCAAAAAGGAGGGTGGACTGTGGTGGTTTTGTTGTACAGCTGAAAACATAATTGCTCAACAATACGAGAGCTCCTTTTGGGGCAGGACTGTGTGTCTGCAGTCAAGCATTTATCAGAGGGCATGGGATGGCCAGATTAGTGGCTGAATTTTTTGTCTGCTGTTACTAAGGGCCACCTTAGTGCAGGTCTGTAACTTGGTGCTCCTAGCTTGTGCCATGCTGAGCAAGGCACAGCATGAATCTATCCAAGGTGAATCTATCCAGTGGTGCTAGCAGAAAACAAGAACTTCAACATAACATTCCTGTTTGCCTCTCCAAAGTTTTATTTCTTCATCATTCTTCTTTCCTCATTTCCCTTTTTTCTTTTTTTTTTCTTTTCTTTTCTCTTTTTCTCCATACCCTTCCTTAAAGAAACCAAAGCAGGAAGGGGAAGGATTCTTCCTTTACATTATTGTTTCAAGTGTGATGTCATTATATAGGGAGCAGAGTTTGACACTTTCATCGAAAGTAATCTGCCTTTTAGCTTAAGTGCTGCGAAAGCAAATATTGTGACATTTTAGAAAGTCACCAGGATAATACTAAGTGTCTTTCAAATACAAAATGATAATTTACATTTGAATGCCTTGGTGTCTATTCCTGTTAGGAACAATTTCTCTGTCCTACTTACTTTAAAAGACCAAACGCCAGGAAAGAATCAAGAGGTTCTTTAGAGCAATTTAAATCATTTTTAACAGGCTGCTGTTTATAGTACTTACTTTGTTGCAAATGGGGAATACTTACATTTGCCTGTTTGACAGGAAAAACTGTCTTCCAAGTGGGTGAGTGACCCTTGGCCCATATTTGAAATGTGAATGTTTTTAAGCAGAACCTCCAAACATGCTATAAATCAGATCTGATATTACACATCGTCCGTGTCTGTGCTCTGCTGGAGTGGTTCATGTTGCAGTACATGGTTAGAGGAGGCAAGTTTGGTGCTTTTGTAACTCGTCAGCTACAGTAAAGAGCACACAGTTGGGTTTAAAAGTAAGAAAAAACCTACTGTTTATTTGTTCTGTTAATAAAATCCATGTGATTGTCATATGCGGGGAGAACTAAGTGGTAGTTTCAAACTTTCTGGAACCTATGTGGTACAGCACTTTGGTAAAGCAATTTAAAAATAAAGCCTTCTGTATTACTTGATATGTGCTGTTATGATTGAGCAGGGTAATTAGATAGCATATTGTTCACTAAACAAAACACTTCTGTGTGACATACTTGAATTATAGTGGTTATTAACTGACAAATCTCTATTATTCATCTTGCTGTATGCCTTAAAGATTGCTGGATCAGCAAGCTTAACAAATATCAATGGACAGTGCTGATTTAGGGGAAGAGTGACGTTTAATTGGTCCTCTTTTATGACAGAAAACTCCTCGTGTGGTTTATTTTGCTGAAATTAAACAGTTAAAGTTTAGAGTTCATGGCTAATTTAAATGTCTGTGCTACTTCTTCAGAATCTGAGGCACTTACTGTGAATGTAAAGTCTGGTTTTAAAATGTAAGAAAAACTTTACAGTTTATTTCTTCATAATGTTGCCCTTCTGGATAAGTATGGGAAAACAGCTCTGGATTAGCACGAGGTTAGAAATAGCCTGATGTTGTTCGAGTCTTCAGCCAAATTCGGTGTCTTAGGGCTGCATTGTGCAGGCTCGTAGAGGACAACCCTGGCCTTAATCTAATCACATTAAGCAGATAAAAATGGGAGGCAGAACAAACAAACAACAGAAAAAGAAGAGCAGCTAAACTGAGGAGGGCGGTCTGGGAGCAGGAATGAGATCTTTTGAGCTGAATTTATCAGCGCTGGGCTGCAACAGCCCGTGCAGTTGTTTGGCTTTCATTGCCATTCAGTGAGAGAGGATGGAGGTGGCCGGGGCTGAACACAGCACTCGGCTGTGTGGAAGTTGTTTAATCTGGGTGAATGAAGGAGTGCCGTTTATCACACTAAAACCTTTTCATGACTCATTAATAAACTTTCTCTTATCTAATTACAGTGCTTTAGTAGGATGCAGTATTAACCTCAGCGTGCTATTAAAGAAAAATTAGGTTTTTCTTGTCGTAAAAAATGCAAAGTTACTCATTGAAAAGCTTATAATTCCAGCCGCAAATGAGGCATGAAATATATTGCCAAAAATACGGCGCCCAAAAACGCTGGCGGTAAATATTTTATCTTGGTGCTAATTAATAGCTTGAATTTAAAACTGAGCATTCTAAATTTTCACAATAATGAAATTAACCTAATGGTACCAGTGTAGCCTTTAGTGACATGTACGAATTCTGGTGGATTCTGTCCTCAAGTTACACGTTTCTGAAGGTGGAGGATGTTTGTAGCTCTAGCAGTAAGCAGAAATTTCTTCTTGTCTTCATAGTGCCTTTTTATTTACTTGGAAAGTGATTTAGAACCTGAAGACCAAATAATAGCGAGCTTATGGTTTCATTAACTGCAAGGAAAAGAGTTTAATGCAAGAAAAAACCCACAATTATATTTTATTTCTTTTCCCCCTGCTCACTTGATTTCTTAATTTGACTTTCCTCCAGCAGGAGCTTCTTAATTAATTGTATTTTCTATTAATGTTAATGTAAAAAATATAGTGTCTTAGCTTCTGTTGGTATTGATTTTCTTTTATTTTTCAGCTCTCTGTTAGTATAGCATTAGCTGTACCTTTAGTCAGGTGCATTTTCAGGCCCAAATTGGAAGGATAAACACTCGTAACATCCTATGAAGCTTAAAGTAGTAGATGTGATTTTAAAATTAAAAAAAATTAATGCTCAGGTCTGGGTAGAGCATTCTGATGAAGGAAGTGGTAGCTTTGCATGTAACTGTACTTCTGTAGCCTTTTTAGGCCGTGCTTGAATTCTGGCAGTGATGGGAGCTGTGAGCCGCGTGTCCGTACAGCATCCGACTGCGGCAGCTGTCCCGAAGGCGTTTGGAATGGGGTCTTTTCAGGGGGCGCCTTTGCAGTTTGATGTTCCCTCTAGTGTTTGAGGACTGGAAATGCTGAGTCTGATCTTCCTCAGGTCGCTGCAAAGTGACCAAACGTGCTCTCTGGCAACTCCTTGGAAGCCGCAGACAGGGTTTTATGTTGGGAAAGTCAACTGGAGGGAATGTGGGGGCTTGACTTTAGTTGCAGTGGATGTAATTGCTGCATTATCAACTGACTTTGGCCATGTGCTCTGCTCTGGATGACCTTTGGAGTCTGGGACCTGAGTCTGAATGGCTTCTGTGTTATCACATCACATTTCTACTTACCTCTATGGGCAGACCAAATGTGGAGCCTTTCAAAGCAGAATTTGATTTCGGTGCTGCTTAGATGGCTATCTCCCAAGCTATTTATTGGTTTCATCAACACAGTAAATTGTCTCAAGTCTCCTAAAGAAGTACTTACAGAGATTTCTATGGCTGATTAATCACAACAGTTTGCTAGATAAGAATAAAGACAAATGATTATTTAAACCTGCTTATGTACCATGACTCTTTCTTCCTTGATTGTGGTAGAGTGCCAGCTGATGAAGACAGAACGACCTAAACCAAACACATTTATCATTAGATGCCTCCAGTGGACCACAGTAATTGAAAGAACATTTCATGTGGAGACTCCAGAGGAGCGGTATGTTTCATTCATATTTAATGCATAAACTCCTTGCAAAAGCAGATGCAAGTCTTCAGCATTAATAGCAAGTCTTTTGCTGAAGCTCTTATTTATCAGATGATGTACGTCTGGACTGAAAAGCGACAAATGATTTTTGAGCGCCTCAGTTTTAGTCCATGTTCCAGTATAAAAGGTACCCTAAGGGGGGGTTTCAGAGAGTGGATTTTGAGCAGTTTGTAAATGAAGAGTTGCTAGGTTGGGTATCCAAAATGGACAGGTGCAGGTGTGTACCAGCACACAGGTAGTTATTTCTGGAAATGTAAGGCTCATTTCTCACTGGAAATGTTGTGGGTATGTAAAATGAAGGGTTTCTGACCTGGGAGTTTCTGGAAGGATAAGCACAAGTGAAATAGAGATTCAGGCAAAGTTGAGTTGTATCAAAATACTGACCTTTTAAAGTCTATTTAGACACCTTGTTTCTAAAGGAAAAGTTAGTTGTATCATTGCTGATTGCTAATGTTTTATGCAAATTAGATAATAAAGGTGATAGTTATCTGCTGCAGGTGCAGATTTCTGTTTCAGCTGTTAGGAAACAAAGCTAAGAGCTGCATCCTGTGCTCTCATCATTGGAGAATTGATCTCTTACCTCCAGAGAGAACAGTTTTCCAGCACAGCTATTCTGCAGCTACTGAGTATTTAAATATTTACTCGCTCTTCAGAAACTGAATTTAAATTATTCCAGTACCATTGCCCTAGGGGAATGAGTATTTTAAACCCCTGGTATTCCCTAGATATGATACTGGCACATGTTTAGTTTAAAGATCGGTAAATTCTATCCAATATTATTTGCCTCTTGTTTTCATAGCCTTTGCATGCACTGATTTAAAGAAAGTTTCCGGTTATTGCTTTTAATTCTGTTACAATGATCAGAAGAAGGCGAAGTCAAATTAAAAGCAAATAAAAAGAAACTGGTCCTTGTTTTCTTTAGTAGCTTTGTGGTCAGTGACCCTAAAGGGAGTGAATAACAGTTTCCACTTGGAAGAAGATTGTATTTCAGTCTTGTTTTGTTCCCTCCTAGCCAATTAAGTCAGCTTTGTGACACTTCGGGGCTCAGAGTGTTAGTCACTTCTGTTGTGTACTCTTGAGACATAAAAGCTGAGGGTGAAATTCTGGTCTCCCAGAAATCAAAGATACTCACTTCAGGAGGGCTGAGATCTCAACCAAGTCAGTAACAAATCTTAGAAGAGATATGAAGGTAGATATACCTTCAGCTTTCTCTGTGCCTTTAAAACCAATGTTTGCTTTTTGAAAGAGATGGAGAGAGAAAAGTACAGAAGAAAAAGTTCTTATTGTAACCATTCTGAATATGAAAAATATGACTAGCAAATAAGGGAATGTGTTTGTGATGGTGGATGGAATAGTCCGTGCTAGGAGTATAGTGAGAATGTTCAGAACATTTGGCATTACCTTGCTGCCCCAGACAGGGCTGGAGGGATAGTGCATATTCAGGCAAAATCCAAAATAAAAAATGAACAAGGCAGGAAAGCCCTGAGTGGTGCAGTTTTTATTAGAATCTTGTGTTGGGCACTTTTTCCTATGGACTTTGCTTCCTCTGGTGAATGATCTGCCTCTTCCATCCATCACAAACCGAAATCCACATGTTCAGATATGATTTTTTTTAAAAAAAAAGTCATTTCATAGAACCAGTGGAAAATGGGACATTGATAAGGATGGCACAGCTGCACTGCAGATTGCATGTAGAGCAGTTCAGCACTGGCTGCTGCTGTTCCTGCTGCAGTAGCAAAGTGTTTTACCTGGGCTGTCCTGGGAGAAGAGTTTAACCAGTACCTCGAAAACACCAACTAAACCACCACATCCCGTTCCCTACAGATACAAAAGACAGTAAAACGTGGTAAGTTCAGGTAGTCCTTCAGCCCCTGTATGTCTTAAACCCTGTCCTGAAACCCTGTAAGCCCTTACGTGTTGTATTCTTTATGTTCAATAAATTTGCAGTGCAATCAAGTGAAGGCCAAGAACTTTCACTTCAATAGTTTCCAAAGGTGTGAAATTTCCCAAAGGACACTGGAGTGGAAGTGGTCTCCATGGGAGTCAAAGGGGTCACTGTTAGAGCACCCGTTGCTGAAACAGCTGTGGAAACTTTATCGTAACCAAGACCTAAGATGAAATGTCACTGCTTTTGCTGACATTCTGCTAAAGTTTACACAGGAATTGCTGTACTGCTGTCATCATCTTTATAACACAGGAATAACCTAAGTATCCTGGGATTTAATACCTTCTCCAGGAACACCCCTTGCCATTAAAATTTGGGATATGTGTGCGAAAAGGTGGCATAGTGTCCCCAGGAGTTGGATATGTGTTTCAGTGCACCATAGAAATGTAGAAGCTGCATTTAATTGCTTTGTGCTTCATGGGAGCCTCTTGCTTTTTGGTTTTGGCGAGTCTGTTTTTGTTATGTAAGTCTGTCACCAGGTTGTATCAGCTGTTGACTGAATGTCTATTAAAAGTTCTGTTGTGTGAAAAACCTTGTATTACATCCAGACTGGGAGAACTTCAGTTGTCTTTTGTTTCTAGTACTGTTAATAAAGATACTTGTTGAAAGTGGTCTTAAAAATGCATTTTTACAGTGCTTGAAAATGCACATAATTCATTGTATCTTTCACTGATTCCTCAGAGAGCATTAGTTGCTCTGTATTCCTTGATGATCTTTGCAATGGCAGATGGTAAAGTCACAAGTAATGAATGTCTTTGCCTATATTTTGCCAGGGAAGAATGGACAAAAGCCATCCAAACAGTAGCAGACAGCCTCAAGAAACAAGAGGAAGAGATGATGGATTTTAGATCTGGCTCTCCCAGTGATAATTCAGGTGCCGAAGAAATGGAAGTTTCTATGACAAAGCCAAAACACAAAGTGGTAAGTGGGCATAGCAGGAATAACTGTTTTTTTTAGGTCTTCTCAAATGTAGACAAGAAATAGCCATCAAGCCACATCTGTTCCCATAACAATTACACAGTTGGTTGTAGATGCAGCTTCTGCAGGAAACAATTGTCTGAGCTGAGCAGGTACCAGGCAGAACCTATCTGGGTCCACCAGAGTTCTGAGTTCAGATTCCTTACTGGATGACTTTCAAGGCCAGCTCATGTCTGGATTTGGTTTGCCTGTTTTTCTGTGGTACAGGGCCTGAAATCATAGCTCCTGCTAGACCACATGACTCTGTAAACTCTTTGCAGGCGGGTACAAAGGTATTCCAGTGGATTTGCAGGATTTAGGGTGGGTCCAGTGAATTTAATTGCTCTGGATTAAGGGTTTAGGCTGACCCCCTGCAGCCACTGCAGTGTCTGTCTGTAATGTTCCTAGAGCTTGGGGTTTTGCATCAGGCACAACATAGTCTGAATGCACAGGGCCAGTTCAGCAGTGGCCTTCAATGAAAGGAGTGTGTACCAGAGGAGATCTTTAGCCTTTTTAGGTGTGTCTGTCTTTAGCCTTCCTTCACTTCTTTCTACCTCCTTGTGGTCTTCTGTTTGGATTTTTGTTTTCCAAAGTGATCCCACCTGTTCTTGCAAGAAAGAATTGATAGAAACTTCCCAAGTGAGTGCAATGTTTGTGGATTTTAGCCGGGCACTTTCTTGTGTCCTCATCTCACCGTTGTCATCCCCACCTACTTTCATAAGTTTGTTTCAGTTTTGGGAAAACCGATGAAGTTTTTCTATAAAAAGATAGTTATCCACCAGTTTCTTCACTAAGTATTTGTTACCCTTGTGTCATGTCAGCGCTTTCAGAGTGATGGAGGTGGCTACTTACATGTCTCTCTGAATTAAAGCTGCCATTAGGCCTTTAGATCCTTGGCTCAACAGATCCTGCCCTTGCTGGGCAGCTCTTCATAGAAATGCAATGAGAAATATTGGTCAAACATTGGTCAAATATACCTGTTTTTCTGAAACAGTGACTGTCTCTCCCTGGGTGTGTTAGTGACGGTGATAACTGAAGTCTTGATATCAACTGTACTGAACAATTAGCAGGAAGTCTCCTGAGCCAGTTCTAGGGAAGACTATTGAGGAAGTTTGCTGTCGAAAGTGTCTTAATTTTTTTCCTCAACTGAGGCTTGGGTTGTGTAAGTCTGATTGTTGCCACGTTGGCAGCCGTCATTGATCTCACAGAGAGAGTCCTTAGCCTGCAACATGGCTAATCTGTGAGGCAGTTATTTGTCCTGTGGTTTTGGTGCTGTTCAGTGAAGTACAATGAGGCACAAGAAAGCACCCTCCTAGAGATGTAGGGAAAATCAGAAAAAAGGTGTGAGTTTAATCCCTGGAATCAGAGCAGCATGTGCCTTTTAAGGAACGTCTGCACTGACAAAGAGATCAAAATATCTGGATTAATGTATGCTGAGTGTTACTTCCACAGTTGAGTGTTGTCATGCAAAAGAGCATTCAGTTAATTGAAAGCTTATGGTTTTCCCTAAATAGTTTGATTGATTATATTTGGAAGTGCACTGGCATTCATTTTTATGGAAGAGTCATTTCTGCTCCTGAATTCTACAAAACAAAAAGATTAACAAAAAGACACATGTGTAACATATGCGATGCATTCTCACGTGAATGAGCACTTCTGCTGAGAATAGTATACTTCTTGTTAGTTCATGTAATTCAGTTCTTTTCTATCATTATCATTAACAGACCATGAACGAGTTTGAATACCTTAAACTACTGGGAAAAGGCACTTTTGGAAAGGTCATTTTAGTTAAAGAAAAAGCAACTGGACGATATTACGCTATGAAAATTCTGAAGAAAGAAGTTATTGTAGCAAAGGTGAGTAGGTGGGAAACCTGGGGATGTTGTTCGCCCTTTGCCTTTGGCAAAGTCATGCCGAGGATTCTCAGAGAACTTGTAAATAATTGCTCTGTTAGTGTTTTACATGGAGCCCTGATCTGGGGAACCACTTTGCTGATTTCCTTCTGCTTGTGTTTCAGGATGAAGTAGCGCACACGCTGACAGAAAACCGTGTCCTACAGAACTCTCGGCATCCATTCCTAACAGTAAGCATTTCTGCCTCTGCTGAGTGTTACTTGACATCATGACAAACAAGGCTTTCCCTGTTGTGTGGTTTTGTTTTTTTTTTACTTATATAATGCATCTGAGATCTGTGTTTTCAGAGTGGCTGTGTATTGTTGTACCCTTTCCATTTTTGGGAAGCACAAATTAAAATACTTTTTAAAGTTTTCTGATTCTTGCAGAGCAGGTCCTCAGTACCTCTTGAAGACAGTGTTTCAGGGTGTGGTTTGACTTTACAGCTCACCCATTTAATGACTTGCTATCTCTGAGAGAAATATCTACTTCCCTTGTCCTCCAAATGCTTGGTCTCCTCTTTGTAGCAGAGATCAGGGTGACCCTGATCTTGTGACAAACAAGTTCAGGAAGATAGAGTGGGGAAAAACCCTTTAATTTTGTCTTTGTTGTTATTTTAAGCTCCCAGAAACTGTGGAATCAGAACACTGGTAATGGCAGCCAAAGAATAGTGGTGGGAGCATGTGGAATGGGGCAGGGAAGAGCAGGACTGTGCTTTAACCACTGCTTTCCTTTTGGATTGGCTTAGCTGTGTAATCAAACCATACTCTCAGTTTAGACTTTCAGTGCCAGCAATCTCTCTGTGCTGAGTTCAGATATCCAAGTTCCATCTCAAGATTTTGTTTCTAATATTTATTACAAGTTGTCTCTGAGTTGTTTACAACTGCTTAAACCCTCCAAGAGACTGTATAGGATCCTGGTTGTTTCCTTTGGCCAGGTACAAGGGCTTAACTGGAATTAAACCCTGTTAAGTGTGACCTCTGGAAGTAAATATTGTCTGTATTGAGTGTAATCATGAATGTCTAAAACCTGATCCTCCCTTTCTCTGCAATAATATGAGTAGTTTAAAAATGTCACCCCTAGTAATGAAGACAGTGATACTACATGTGATATTTTCTCCTTGATGCTTTCATAAACTCAAATACCCAAAACTAGGTCTCTTGAAGTCAGCTGTGAGACTGGATTTAAGTTGGATATTAAGAAAATGTTCTTCACTCAGAGCGTAGTTGGGCACTGGAACAGGCTCCCCAGGGAAACAGTCATGGTACTAAGCCTGACAGAGTTCAAGAATTGTTTGGACAATGCTCTCAGGCACATGGTGTGACTCATGGGGTTGTCCTGTGCAGGGCCAGGAGTTGTACTCGATGATCCTTGTGGGACCCTTCCAATTCAGGGTATTCTATGATGCTATGGGTTATGACCAGAAATCTCAAGACTATGGCAAACAAGTTGATGTTACTCTTGCCACGGGAACACATGTGACAGGACTGTACAAAGGCACCTTGTGACACTCCATCACACCCTCTATCCGGTCTGTTTTTGCAAATTGCTCACAAATTGGTATCGACAGTGTTACTCAATCCTCTGGCAGACTGTCAGCAGGGAGCAGTTGCAGGCAGCAGGGCAGAGACCAGGGGGCTGGTGTGTGTAAATATATACGTGTTTCATGTATGGTGCAGTGAAACCCCGTGCTCTGGGGTTTGGTCTGAGCCTCTTGTCTGTGAGGTGGAGCCTGTGGGAACTTGTGGCCTGAGAAGGAAACTTCACAGCCACTGTTGGTACATACATTTTGTGTCACTGTTAATGAACCAGGACTTTGTTTCACAGCTTTATAGGTGCTGATTGCTTCTGCAAGGGATTGATTTAATGTTTAATTAAATTTATTTAATGAAATAAGTTGGCAGTGGATCAGTCCTCAGATATTACGGGAAAGTGTAGGTATGATATAAGACTCAAGGACAAAAAGTTCACTAAAACAGAAAATTTCATGTCTGTTTCTGAAACTCTATTAAAAATGCTTTTATAATTGTCACTATGATCTGTCTTCTAAGTTTTGGTTTAAATCTGTTTCAGGCTTTAAAGTATTCCTTTCAGACACATGATCGCTTGTGTTTTGTTATGGAGTACGCTAATGGAGGGGAGGTAAGGGAAATATAATAATGTTTAATACTCTAGGATTTTCCTGTACTACTAATTCTGCTTGACATTATTTAGCTAAGGTCCACGTTTGCAATTCTAATTAATCCAAGATGTCCCAGTTAAGCAGAGCTGTTTGCAGGTTTAACTAATATTAAAAATTAAGACTCTTAATTTTCTCAACTCCGTTTTTAGAACATAAAGGTTTTGGGCGTAGGTTCCTATTTTACATGACAGCAATATATTGTAATCTGACATTTAGAAGTTCAAGAAGGCAAGGTTGCTTTCTAGTTTTTCTTCAGACAAGTTTTAACACTTTTTAATGAATCTTGTGAGCATATGTTACTTTGGAGGGAGAACTATGTTACTTTGGAGGGAACTAACTACTGTTACAATCAAGAAGGAAAAGTGAGAATATTAACATTTCTCCAAATCACACTGTAGTTTTAATATGTAATTGTAGTTCAGTCAAAAAGAGTTTTTATAATTTTCTGAACATACAAGACTGCAGCACACAAGCTCGTTATCAGTGTGCATCTGTGAATAAGAGATATAATTGTCAAATCATTTTATTTATGGTTCTTTTTAACACATTTGGGAACGCAGCTGGGTGAGGAAGGGAAGGGGTTTTCTCTTAGGTAGTAGCACATTCCAAGCAGGATGTCCTGTGCAAGACATAACTCAGAAACATCTGAAGTTAAACAAATTACTGTTCTTGCAGTTGTTTTTCCATCTGTCAAGAGAGCGCGTCTTTTCTGAAGACCGAGCTCGGTTCTATGGAGCCGAGATTGTTTCAGCGCTGGATTACCTGCATTCAGAGAAGAATGTGGTTTATAGAGATTTGAAGGTATGTAGAGAAATAATTTCATAAGCTTTGGGTGTTTGGCTTTTTGTTTGCTGTTAACAAAAGCAAATGAGCCTGAATTATTAAGAAATGCTTTCCTGACTGAACTTTATCCTAACTGTTGTTGCAGCTGTTGGGCGTGACTTTATAGGATGTCTGTACACTTTCATAGTTCAAGAGGCTGTATGAGGCATTTATCGGGACCCTGGGGCAGCCCTTCAGAAAACAGGAAGGGGCACTGGGCTACTTGGGTTTCATTTTCACTTGCCTGCTTATGTTCTAAGAGAAACTTTGCCGGTTCTCCTGCACGGTGGAACATAATCCTGGTCTTATTAGATAGATGCAAATTCACACTGTGTGAATGTTGCTCTTCCTTGCAGTGTGCTCACAGCACTATCTTCATAGCACCTGCTTCCAGTCAGAAAATTGCCTTAGCTTCATGTTAGTTACTTATTTGTTTGGTGAGCACAAAAAGGGAAAAAAAACCCCAATGAAACAAGATATCTGAGGGCAAACAAACTCGAGAAATTCTTGAGGAAGCTTTAAGAGTAGCATTTTCTTTTTTCCTGAGAAGAATTTTCAGGAGAGTGTGAGGGTATACTGGTAGTTTATTTAGGAGCAATATAGAATGAACATTTTGTGTAATGTTTTCAGGCTATGTCAAAGTAATTTTGGGATTTCTGCTGGGATTTTGTCTCCCATATCACCATGATACGTTTGAAAGTGCACCTTATTTGTACATGGTGGACATGTGATACCTGGGTGACTTTCTCAAAAATCAGTGGCCCAAGCTAAGATGAATATCATTTGCTGAGTGACTGTATGTAGTGATTCTCATTTAAAGGGTCTCTTTGAAAGTGGTTCCGTAGCCATGCAAATGATTTCTGTTTGATTTGCTGTTATTTACTGGTACAGATTATTTCATAAAATCACAGCAAAAGCAGGGATGAAGTTGTATGAGGGGGGAATACTTAATATATGTTCAAAATAACTGGTGTTCTGTTGGGGATAATATTGTAGAAGCATAAATATTATGTCTACGTTCCGCATTCTTTCTGTTTATACCGTGGGTTACTGCAAATTAGTTACCTAATGTTCCCTAAAGAACTAAGGAAAGTGTTACAATGTATATTTACATTATACATGCTTTGGCAGCTACTATTGTTGTGACCCCAGTGAGAATGAGGTTGAAAACTGATCTGCAGAAGTTTGTCTTTTACTGTCCTGCTCAGGAGCAGTGTATGTTGTACATAATCATGTCTTTAATTTGGATTTTCTTCCCAGTTGGAAAATCTTATGCTGGATAAAGATGGACACATAAAAATAACAGACTTTGGACTATGTAAAGAAGGCATCAAGGATGGAGCAACAATGAAGACCTTCTGTGGCACTCCAGAGTACCTTGCGCCGGAGGTATGTTTATGTTGGCTATTGTGTTAAATTATCTTCTTATATGCTGTCCATGATAGCAGTAAGAATACAGAATAATTCCTGTGCCATTATGTGTTCATACACTGACTGCTATGACACATACTGAGACTCCTTTTTTTCATCATGATCTGGAACGTATCTTTAGCATAATGATATGTGATGATTTTTCACCATCCACTTCAGGGAGTATTTACATTTTACTGGAACAGTGATTGTTTCTTGTATGTAATTTAATATGTAATATGTAATTTAATATGTAAAAGATACGTAATTTTAAAAAAATCTTTTAAATCATTTCGAATACTATATGCTGTATTACTTGTTTTGCAGTATGGTGTGTGTTGTCCTGTTGAAAGTTATCAACAGGACTTTGCTTAAGAAGTGAAAGTATTGTCCAGTTCTTTTACTCTTTCAGGACAGTATAAGGTGACATGTTTTCAAAAAAAGGACAGACCAAGCTTTTTCTGCAGTATTTAGCATGGTATGCATTAAAAGTGCCGACTGTTTTATGACTATGAAAGCACGAGATATTTCTCAGTGTTAATTTGAACATTCCAATTTCAGAGGAAATAAATCCAGGCAGGGGATCTCAGCCCCCAAATGGTATTGTTTGGGGGATTTTTTTTTTGTGCGAATTTTTTTTTTTTTTTTTTGTAAAGTGTAAAATGTAAATGTGTTCTTGCAGCTTTCCTCCTGGAAACACTCCGAGAATTGTGCAACACAGGTGGTGTTATAGCTGTGAGTTAGTTACGGGCAGATCAAAAGTGGAATTGTGTTATAGGGGATACATGTACACACGGTGTTTCACAGGCAGACGCTGGTTTCTCTGCCCACGCTCCGAGCTGTCTGGAAGCAGACTCCCTGTATTAGTGGGGCACAGAGCCCGAGCTAATGTGGTGTGCCTTGCACAAGCTCTGCTTCCCTTGCAGTGGGGGCTTTGCAACCCGTGGCGTTTAGGTTTCCATCCAGCTCAGAGCACAGGCAGAAGCAAGTCTTGGGCTGCTGGCAGATTATATATTGTTGACACAACCAGGATGTAGCCTTCCCTGAGCTGGGAGACTTGGGCATTGCAAACCTGCCTTGAGTTGAAGTATGCAGGAGTACAGATTATGGAAAACCGAAGTGGAGGAGGAATATTTCTGCCGAGAGCTGGTGTCTGCTGATCAGCACTTTTGTGCTCTCTGCTTGCATAGTGGTGGCAGCGTGCTCTTGGGGTTTTTTTGGTTTTTGGTTGTTTTTTTTTTTTAACTCCCAGGTGCTTTCAAGGGCCTCCGGTCTCTTTGTAATAATGGAGAATGTGGGCACCTGTCAAAGTAGCTTGCAGCAAGGAGGTGGAGCCAATCTCATGATAACTGCCAGCTTTTCCATGGATCACCAGAAGTCTTCAGTGAATCTAAATTGGGGTCCATGCACCACAGTTTGAGATTTACTGATGCAGAGAGTAATTAGCAGCATGATGCAGTGTTAGCTTTTATTTTAGCTTCCTTCAAAAAATCAACTGCTGAACTTCAGTTTCTCGTCAAGGGTTTTTTGAGGAGGCTGAAAATATTTATTGTTTTGGTTTTGTTTTTTCCTAACTCGGAATGTGGGGATTCCCTGTGCAGGCATTGTGTTGTTCTTTCTCTTATGGCATTTGCTATTATTTTTCTTTTTAATATTTATGATGAGTTGGCTCATCCAAAAACCCTGAAGGACAAATCCTTTTGATTAACCCAGTTCTCTCCCCTACTTGCAAACCCCATCTGTGAGTTGGAGTGTTAAATTCTGGAGGCTTTTGTCATCTGGTTGATAGCATGCAAAAAATCTGGAAATTGTGCGCGAGCGATATTCCATGTGTTTGAGGTCAGACATCCTTAAAAGCGGGGGTCTTGAGCTTCTTATCTGCATTTGTAACTCGAGTCCAGCACAGCGGCGTGTCTGTACAGTTGTTGCATCGTTGTTTTTAGGTTCATACTGGAATCTCATGCATGGATGACAGTGACTGAACCATGTCAACTTTGATGTGTCAGATGCATCAATGGCTGTGATGTTTACAGCTGTTCTGCCTTCTCTTTCAAATTCCATCTCACAGCAGTCCAGAGCTGCTCATTAGGAAATGATGATCCTTTAATTTAAGTGAAATGACCTTGCTACTTCACTGCTCCCCAGCTATCCAGTGTGTTGCAATAAATCGTGGATGAGTGCAATGTCTTTTTTGTCACGGTGTATTTTTGATACACCGTTGCTCTCTTTTATGCAGTCACTAATATGAGGGTATGCTCATTGTGATAAAGAACTTTGAAGAAATAAGCATTTTATATTCTTTTTGGAATTAATGGAGGTGAAGGGAAGTGTTGCAGTTAGTAATACAGTTCATAATACAGCTTATAATGCACTTACTAAAGTAACATTTGAAGTGTTTACTGCATTTCTAAAACACCTATGGCATTTATTAAGTGCACAACAAAGGCCATTGTGGTTTTCTTTTTCTTTCAGTATCTCCTATTGCATCTCTTGTGCGGCAGTTTAAAAAATAAAAATTGGAGGCCCTGTGACTGTTTTATTTTAGGCAAGCCAAGTGTAGGGGAGTGCGAACAGGAAGCGCTTACTGAACGGGGGTGACTCAGAGAGCGGTAACTGCATTGTCACACAATATCTCCTGCGAGCCGAAGGGCTGCCATGCCTTGGGAAGGACGGGGCCGGCTCCTGGAATCCTGTCCGGCCGGCAGCTGTGTCGGCCGTATACATATACGGGGCAGCTGCACAGCCAGCTGTCGTTTGGTGTGAATCATACGGCCGGGGATGCTGTAAATAGACCGACGTGGGGTAATCTAATACCTGGCAGCCTTTTGATTTTTACTGCAGGCCCTCTCCCTCGTTCAGATAATTAAGGGGAATAATTAGTGAATACAGGGAGCCAAAGTGCAAACAGTTGTTATGTGAAGTGTCCCGATGCTTCTTTTTTTATTTGCAAAACCTTTATCAAGATCCATAAGAGGTTCAGATCTTGCTTTTGTTAAACTTGCGTCAACTTTGTTTGGCTCTTTCACCTTTTTACTTTTGAGCGTAAAGTGTTCTGAATCGCAGGAATGTAAAGCTCACACAGACACCACACAGCAAGAAAACACGATGGTGGTGCAGTTGTGGTTTGTGCTCTTAGCAAGAGTAAGCAGCTCAGTGCAGACCCGTGAAAGGAGTAAAGATGACGACTAAAACCTGAGGACAGGGTCTGGAACATGAGACTCTTGGTGTCAGCTACAGACAACTGCATAGGAGACACCAAGTCTAGAGAAGTCCTTGTAACATCCACTGCACAAGGCACAAAACTCTCCCTGCTCCCTTCAAAAGCCCACTGTGCAGAAGATCAAAAATGCACTATGGCCCAGCTTCTCACCAGCAAGCAGGAGAGGTGGAGGGCACTGCTGGGGTCTTAAGTCCCTGCACCAGCCACAGCTTTGTTAGGTAGAATTTACCCGGGGGAGAGAAGAATGAACTGTGCTGGGCTCATTTTGCTGTAAGACCTGGCAAAAGTCCACCCCACTGACAGTTCCTGGGTTTGCAGCCCTCTTAGCAGAGGCAGGAGTGCCTTTAGAGCGGGGCAAAGGGATGGAGGGGAAACATTTCCAGACAATTTGGCTGCCGTTTTACAGCCTTGCAGCCGGTCAAATGTTAGGAGTGGTGTTCTGGCTCTTAGTGTTTAATGTAGATTAGTCATTGAGTATTTGTGGGTGGTCTTTTAGCATGTGCAGAGCAACCCTTGGGGTGGGCAGGCTGATATGAAGGTGATGGATATGTTTGGCTTGTCGCTTGTGAAGGAACAGGTTGACGGTCTCTTCTCCTCATATGGCTCCTTGGTGGTTTGGGTTTTTTCTAAAACTTTGGATTCCATTTGGAACAGTTTGTGATGAATAAGTGAGAGTTTAACAGCTGGCTCTGTAATGTGAGAACAGTTCTCAGCCTTTGGACTTTCAAAGGTTGTGCTTATCATGACCATAATGTGAGGGAGGGTGGGAGGAAGAAGGGAAGGAGACTGCTGTAACCTACCTGCTGCCTCCTTTCCCCCATTCTGCTCACCTGGGATGGTGAGCATGGATGGCAGTTCTTTTCACATGGATACTCTGCGAGTACTTTTCTGGTAGATTCAGCTGTGTCATGTGACATGGACTTGCTGAGTTAAATTTTGCTTCTCAAATTCTGTGTTCGTGCCTGGTTTGGGAGTTTCTTCTGAAGCCTTTTCCTTACCTTCTGCAGGTTCTGGAAGATAATGACTACGGTCGTGCAGTGGACTGGTGGGGCTTAGGAGTCGTGATGTATGAAATGATGTGTGGCCGGCTCCCTTTCTACAATCAGGACCACGAAAAGCTCTTTGAGCTCATCCTTATGGAGGAGATCAGATTTCCACGCACATTGTCACCTGAAGCAAAATCTCTCTTGTCAGGTTTGCTGAAGAAAGATCCTAAGCAAAGGTGAGACTGTTGCTTAATGGTTGCACTTTTAAGTACTTGTGCCCTCAGAAATGCCAAAAAAACCACAGAAAAATTCTGCTACAGACTTCACAAGGAAGTTAATAATTGTGCTGTGTGAATGAAAGGGAACTGTCTTTGAGACAGGTGACTTAGGAGTAACTATTTCTACACTCCCATATGAAATAACCTTATTGTCATAACTGCAAGATAATTGAAAATTGTACTGCACAAAGGGCTATTGCCTGCACGGACGCATGCCAGATATTGTTCTTTATTTAAAAGTTGAGGAAGGTATTTCTGACAAAATTGTAGTTTTATTTCTAATCTGTTTAAAGCGATCATCCAACAAGATGCAGAAAGTGGATCTACTCATTTATTTTTGACTTTTGACATGAGCTGACACCACAAATAGTGACATGAAGGAGCTTTGGTGCTGAACTTCAGAGTAGGTTGGCTGCCATTAAGCAAAACTGTAGCTTGGGTAAAAAGGAAGTTAACCCTGCTTTTGGTCATAACAAATCCAGTGGCTGCTGTGGGTTATAAGCTGCTCTACACTAAATACTTTCACCTTCTGCCCCAGCTGAGACTGCTGTCCCTTTTCTGAATTTTTTCTTTAGATATGTGCCAGTGATATAGTATCCTGCTTTGGACAGTAGGTGGTGGTGTTTGTACCACGTTTGTGGTGGAGTTTAAACCATGCTCAATTGACTTTTCTTATTTTGTCCTTTTGTTTTTGTTTTTTTTTTTTAATTGCTGTATTATTTAAAAAATAACCCTTGATTTTAAAACAGAAAAAAAACAAACTGAAAAGAAAACAAAAAACCCTAAGCCACTAATGGCTGACAAACAATATAGAACTAGATCCAAAAAGGATGTTGACCTTCGCACAAAGATAAACATCAGTTTAAAAACCTGCCATCTTGTCAACCCAGACGTTTTAAGAACAAATAATATTGTGACTCTGCCCCTGATCTTCTGTCCTGAACCTTCCACTGTAAATGGGCCCCAAATAGGAAACCTTTCATGTGAGGTGCAAGCAGAGTATTCCCGTTTGCTTTCTGGTGTTTGTTTAGTCTCTGTGCATGTGTGTGCACACAGCAGGAAAGCGGGTTTTGCCGGTACATGGATACTTGTAGGAACGATTTCTGTCATCACTGTAGGCTATTTCTATCGCTGTTTTTGATGGAAAATCCTGTTGGGAGATCTTGTAATGCAAATCCACAATTTATACTGCTGGAGGATTCAGCTTGGCAGTGACGTGGGGAACGGGGCACAGTTGCAGCCAGGAACTTGGCCAGCCTTGTACAAGGTGGCAACAGCTGCACCCCCCTCCTGAACCCGGCGCCTGCAAGGGGACCTCCAGGAGAAGGTTGTGTAATTGATGAGCAGCCCCCCAGGCACTGTGCTCTTCGAGCCTGGCTGCAGCCCCTGCCAACAGGATTCCTGTCCAGTAAAGTGCTGGGTTAAATGCAATTGTGACCCTTTTGTAGCTTATTCAGGTGGGGCCTTTCAATCACTGGAAAACACAAGCAGCATCTGCTGCAATTTGTTCTTAAAGGAGCATCTCTGATGAACCAAAATGCAATTTGTTGACAAACAAAGAACGCCTACTCGTTTCTAATTACGAGATTTTCCCAATGCCAATAATTACTCCACAATATGCTCACTTTGTACAAATAGCCACTTCTTCACATGTATCTTCTACAGGCTTGGAAGCGGCGCTGCTCTGATCTGTTGGACAGATGATTTTCATGCTGCTGATAGAAATAACTATTGACTAGACAAGCCTGCACACATGCCTTATTGTAATTATTCCTAATTACACTGGTACTTCCCAAGCTTTTTGGATCATGGACTGTTCTTAAATACTGGTCTCTAACCAATCACCGTTCACACAACGTTTTAACTGAGGTTGTGATTTGGCAAATCCCTTGCGCTTTGTGGCGTTTCAGGCGGCACAGAGAACTAATCTGGAAGCATGAGGGGTAGAAGTCCTGCCCTTGTAGTGTTACACTCTCTTTTCTGGGTGGTCTGTATGCTGAGGTGGGAGCCTGACATACTTGGTAGTTGACTCACAGTGAGCTCATGGAACCATATTGACAAAAACCAGCCAGAGAGCTACAAAACTGCAGTCACTGAAAAGTTAAATAATGTGCAATAGTCTGGTTGACATTGGCCCTTTGATGGTGCTTTGGGGAGCCACTGCGTAATTCAACAGAAGTCCCCTCTTCCATAAAGCCCTGGGGTGGACAGAAGTCAGTATCATTGTAATGTTGTCTGTGGCAGAAAGCATCAGAACTGGCAGCATTTAGTAACTGCTGGTGAACTTCAGAGTGGGATGGAGGAGATGGCCAAATTCATGAGAAAAATGAAACTGGGAGATGTTGTCACTTCCCGTAAAATCATTATCAGAAAAACCCCCAACATCAGTAAAGGTTAATATAATGAAGCTCAGTGATGAGGGTAGTTTAAATATCAAGGATCTCAGGAATTGTGATCTGTGTCAGTGAGTTAAATCTTAAAAAGGACCTGTTGTACCTGAGCTGGATTTACAGAAGCAGGGTTAGCACTCTGTGTTCAGTCATACCCATTCAGTCTCAAACTGACAGGCATGTGGGGAAAATGTGAAGAACAGTAATTTGCATTCTGCTTTTAATCATGGCTGTTTTCTAAATTTGGTCATATGAAATCCATTTTCTAAGAGAAAAGGAATTTTGAAGTTTCTTTTGGGATTGATAGAAGTTTATTAATCTTGTAATGTGAGCCCTAATTTTCCTAAGAAGGAACAAAACTATTCTGTAAATATTTCCTGTTAATGTGACCTGAAATTCTCCTTTGCTGCTTTGTGACATAGATCAAATGAAAGGAGGTAATCAGAGCATTTTTTCACACATAAAACAACAAAGTTTTTAACTTTCATTATTACTCCTCTGGCTGTGGAGACTGCAGCCTGTGGAAGTGGGCATGGATCAGAGTGCTCCATGTAAATGGGCTGAGTTCAGATGGGTGGGTGGGTTTGTAATCAGCAGTGTCTCAAAAGCTCTGAATTTTGGCAGGTTTATAACTTGAGAGAAGTTCAGGGTGGTTTAATCTGAATTTTGATGTGTTTTCACTACACGTCTTGGTGCTCCCTGTCATAGGTCAGGGTTGTTCAGCCTCTCTCAGATGGGGTTTGTTCACCTGCTTCTGTCTCCTGCGGTGCTGTTGGCCCTTGCCACTCAGGGAGAACAAGAGGGAGAAGATGTAGCATTTTACAAACACCTGTTCAAAGATTTAATGACTTCACAACCAGAATTGTGGTTGTGCTTTTGGAGAGCTGAAGGTCACTGGGACCTGCTAATCAGTTTTTGCAGCCACACAGAGATCTGGTACTTCGCTTTTTCCTAGCAATGGTGATTCTTTCCACATCCAGAGTGCAATTTTGGCCACAGATACTCAGGAGTATGAGAGTCAATCAAGCCTTTACCTGTACAAAAACCAAACTCCTTGGTTTTTTTTCCCTTGTGAAAGGAGTTAAGCTGTGTGTCGGTGTCCTCTGTTTGTGGTGTTCTGCTATGGGAAAGTTTGATGGATCTTGAGCAAACTTGCTCTCAGGCACAGGTAGGTCTGCAGCCCACACAGCGGCTGCTGGAGTTGGAAGAGCTTGAGGTGACACTAACGGGGACTGCAGGGGCCTGGAGGTGGTCCCAGCTAAGCTGGTGGCTGGCAGGAGGAGATAACCTTGAATAGCTGGTCCTCTTGGACAGCAGACTTTGGTGCCCTGTGGACGTGCAAAGTTTTGAAACCACACGTGACAAATGTTTGTGTTTACTCTGAAATGTGCCTGGAGTACAAAAGTACCTCCAGTCAGCTCCAGTGTCCTGCATATCAGTTCAACTGCAAAGTGTTCATCAAGTCTTCATGTTTCACCAGGTGCTTTGAGACAGACTGAGACTTGGCTGTTGGGTATGATAATTTTAGCCTAACTTGGTTCTGTCCAGAGCAATTTGGACAAAGTTGAAACAGTTCACCCACAGAGATCTAAATTGAAGCTGAGAAAAACATAAAAGGCAGATTTAAAGAGATTTTTCTCCCAACTTTCTAGAAACCAGTACTTTAGAGACTTCCCAAGATTCAGCATCTTCAAACATGACTCCTTTTGATTACTAATATTGGGGAGGGGGACTTTTTCAGTGCTTCTGGATCTACTGTGTTTGTGTCACATGCATATAGTTAATGAAGAAGTGGGGAAGTAAGGCTCAGCACAGAGCTGGAAGTTAGCTGCATTAGGCTTTCCAAAAGTCTTAATCTCTGAGCAGGAAAGCCCCAATAGACTCTGTGTACAGGGCTTTAGGAAGAATGTGGCCTTTTCTTTCCAAATCTGGAGTCATCAAATCATGCTGTTCCCAAAGCCGTCCAGAGCTTCTCTGTGCTGATAGTGCCAGTCACAGGAAAGTGATGTAGATGCAGTTCCCAAATCCTTCCCTGTGGCTGTTAGAGGCCTCTGAAGGTAAGGGACATAGTAAAATATTAGTTTCCATCTTGACTGTATCAGAAAAGGAGAAATATGTGTCTATGTGCTTGGAGCTGGCGAACACCAATAGCTTTTCCTGAGCTGCTTTTCTGGAGCCTGGTGGGTATGTTTGTGCTGTTGTAAAACCAGGTTCGGGGACAGGGGTGACTCAGACAAATCATGTGAAGACAGGGTGACTGCAGAAGTGATGCCTAAAACTGCGTCCATCTTCTCAGATGAGAGGTAGTGCACGTGCAGGTCTGTGAACAACAGAAATCTGTCGCCTCCAAGTATGACAGTCTCTTCAGATGGGGATTCGCCCACAGTCAGAATCTGTATTGTGGCTCCTAATACAGCAAAGCACGAGCTCATGGATGGGATTATTTGGCAGGGCAGAGTGGAGGTGGCTGCTCCCACTTTTCTGCGCTGCAGCCTGGCTGTCCTTACTGTAGAAACTGTAGAAACCTCTTAACTATAAAACTAGAAGCTTGTGGGTTTCTTCTTAAAAGAGCTGGGAATGGATGAGGCTGCTGAGCACTGTTTACTTCTACGTGGACAAATTTTTATTTTTTTTTTTTACGTGGACAATATTTTTCATGTGATCCAGTAATTGCGGTCTTCTGGTTAGTGTTAATACTGTCACTGTTGACTGTCTGTTTATACATTATATTTATATATGTATATTAAAAACATACAACACATAAATTTTAAAAATTGTTTCTACGTGATATATCTGTGGAATGATGGCTGATTGCCCTTGATTCGTGGAGCACAGACATTTGTCATTAAATGGTTAATGAAACTTGAAAGCAATACACAGTTTCATAAAAAGCTAAAATGTGAAAATTGTTTCAGTTTAATATTGATGTTGCACTTTATTAATAATTTTCATTTTTTTGATTTAACTAAAATAGAGGGGAAAAAAAGCCTCTCAAATGTAGATAGAAGTTGAATGAATAACCAGAGTTGTTAGGCAGGTGTTTCTTAAGGAGACCAATTTAGACAGAAGTTTAGATTTTGAGGTGTTTGTTTGTTCTTAAATTGCTTTTTGGCCTCTACACTTTCTGTTATATTTCTTTGTATACTGTAAATTTCCATAGCTTTTGCTTTTCCAGTCCTATTTATACTATTTTTGGTTCTGTCTGAAGACTTAAATGCACAGAATTTAACTTTATTGTACAGGAATCTCCTCAAAGCTCTTATTTCTGCTATATTTTTCTTTATTTATTGCATGTCCCTATGAAAGACAAACCTGCTGCTCTTTCCATTCTCAGTGGTGCTTAAGCATGATTTTTGTGTTAGTTGCCCATTTAATTTTGTTCTCCTTGAGAGTCCTTTCATAATAATTCTGGAAAACAGAAGTGTATTTTGGAATAAGTCCATGTCCAAAACAGGAGGTTTCTATCGTTTCCCCATTCGCTTTGACTGGATTTGTTTAATAGTATAGATTTTTGAAAGGTAAGTAAAGCATCTGGAGCTTTTTTTGGCATTTCCTGGAGTACGTGTTTGCCCTTCATGGAACAAAGGCTCATATTAGATAATATATTCTGCAAAGCACTTGTACATGGCTGCAGCCAGCCAGCCTTCCTGCCTGCTTCTGCAAAACACCATTCAGGTGCTTCTTAGCTCATAGTCACTCCTGAACTTCGTGCCGTCTGTTGGCATCTGTGGATAAGGAGGATTGACTCCACCCTCTCCATCAGCCATTATCATCTGTGCTGGGGAAGTAACAAGGAGTCTGGTAGAGACTTGGCAAAGCCACTGGACCTGGGGGGAACCAGCCAAGAGATGATTACTCACAGAGTTTGTTTCTGTTCCCAGGCTGCCCCGGAGTTGGGCTCTGTTCCAGGCTCTTCCACAGCTGTAGAACGTGCTGCCAGGCAGTTGGGAGAGCCATCGTCCAGCTTGGTTTGGCCTCTGGGGCTCTAGGGTGAACTTAGGTTGGTCTTAGAGCTTACCTTGGAAAGGAGAGAGTCACCCAACACTTTGCTACTGGAAGACTGGGGAGCTGTTCCACTGCACGTTTCCTGAAGGAATGTGTAGGAGCAAACCCCTTAGGTTGCTGTGCCACCGAATGGAAGAGGGCCTGGAAGCAAGCACGGACTTTGGACTGCCAGGCATCTGTGCTGCTTTGGTGTCTCTGGTACAGCCAATGTGCCTTCTTTGAAGATGATGTGTGGGCATGGCTGAGGGGGTTGCATGCACCAGGATTCCTTCCCAGCCAGCACTGTGAACAGTGTCACTGTATTTGACTTTTCCACGCTGAACTGTCATCCGGTGCTGTCCCAATAACGTTTTGCCTTCACACTGCATCCCAGAGCTTGCAGTCTCAAGCTGTAAAAATACCACTTCAGTGGGCTTTAACACAGCCTTCATGTTATCTCTGATATTTTGAGATATTTTGAACCAAACCTCTCCCCTTTATCCCCAGATAATCGTGTATTAGAGCTGAGGGGTTACTGCATGTGGCCTGGAGGACATGAAGGGCCAACTGCTGTGCAGCATGGATGAGGCCTCACTGGGAATCTTGGCTTTGGGCTCAGAGAACAGGCCTTATCCCTGGTTTCTGTAGCAGTATAGCTCTAGCCTTGGCCATGTAGAGTCATTATTTTAAGCTCTTAAAACAGTGGTAATATCTCAGTTTGCCATGGCACCGGGCACCAGAGAACAGGCAGATCCTGGAGGTGAGCCTGGGTGAACATGGTAACACCTCCTGTACTTGAAATCCTGAGCGTTACCTTAACCTTGTTACCTGAAAGAGTCTCCTGCTGGTTACCCAGTATCTGTTTTGCTTTCTTGGTACCTGTCTTTGCTTGCAGATATGTGGTTCAGTCTTTTAGAGAACATTTTAACCTCCACAGCAAAATTTAAGCATCTGTTAGCTCAAGACTGCAACTAAACTGATTGCATCTATAAGCTGTGTGGACAGTTTTATTTTGGAATAAAAGTGCTTTATCTTGATATACCTCAAGTCAATAAAACACCCTTTGTGCTTTCCTGAAGCCAAGGAGGAGGAAAGATTTGCATACGACGTGATATTATCACTGCAGTTGTCAACTGTTTTCTTTAATGGAAATTTAAATCAGGTTGCATAAATCAGGTTGCCTTAAAAAGCCTTGTCTCTCTTTCACTTCAAAATCAAATTCGGTTTTACTGCTGGCATTGCTCTGCTCTAGAAAATTGTAGGGGGTAGTCTCTTGTTAGTACAGAGAAAAGGGTGTGTGGCTCAAACCTTTTACTTGTAGGATCTGCTGTGGTCCCCAGGACAGCATCTTTCCTGAAGAGCAGGTCTTTTGAATTGTGATCATTATTTTTTTTTCTTTGTCTGAGAGAGACCTTTATTCTAACTCTGTTTGTTAGCATGTTTTTAAATCTTTTAAGTGGAACTGTGTTGAAGCCTAAAATAGTCCGTGCACAAAAAACCAAATATGTAGCAAATGGTGGAACTGCTCCCAAATGTATTATATAAACTCAGAATTTCTTCACTACCCTATAATAAAAATTGTATGAGAAAAATAACTGTACTCAAACATTTAATTACTTATTTTGCCTCCTACAGGTTAGGTGGTGGTCCCGATGATGCCAAGGAGATTATGCAGCACAAATTCTTTGCTGGCATTGTTTGGCAAGATGTATACGAGAAAAAGGTATTTATACAACTGTTCATCCAAAGTGAACTGTAGCTGTGAATATACTGAATGTTTCAAATTTTGTTGCCCTGTGTAATGTACACAGAAACACTCCACAGAAAAGATTTGCAGTTGTTTTTAACAGGGCTAAATTGCTTAGTGTTTCTTAAAATACTGTAACTGGATTACTTCTGAATTTTTATTTTGCAGTGATAGGAGTATCTCTCAATGAGGTAGTTGGCTGAATAAATAAGATGTAATGGAAATTGCTTCCAAATTTAGACAGTATTTTAAGCTTTTAAAATTGCTTTTCCTGTGAATTCTTGTTGCCATTTCTTCCTATCAACTGATGTATCCCTTGTGAGACCGGGATTATTGTTGGTTTCTGAGCATCTGAAGCAAAAATTCCTAGAAGCAGTAGTAGAAGATGGACTGTTTTTTCCCATTGCATTTTTCCTGCCTTTTCAGTCTAATTTCAGCATTCAAGACAAGTGCAGACAAGTGTGGGCTTTTGCATCAATCCAAGCCTAATACTATTTTTTTGTGTGTGACAAAGGACTGATAGGAAGTGTCTGCACTTTGTGGTGTTTCTCACTGGTTTTCCATGACACCCACTGAGCCTGTTGGCTTTCCAGTGGAGCCACTGAAGTCAAAGAGCCCAGCCCTTTCCGTAGGAATGTGTTTCATCATTTCTATGTCTCACTGCCCCTTCCTTCACAGATGAGTATTTCACTCCTCCAAGGTGTCCTGCTTTGTGTTCTCGTAGTGATCTGCTGTTGTCCTCTCCCATTTGATTCTCATCAGCCACATTTTCATAGCACTAACATGAAATGCAGCCAACTAAAATGTGGGTCTGGTGATTCAGGGTTCCCTTCTACTGGTGCCATATGATCTCATTCAATCCTAGCCTTTCCTGATTTCCCTCTTTCCTCCAGCAGCCCCTTGTGGTATCAGATCTCGTTTGATCTCTAAGTACAGTTTAGTTCTCTCTCCAGTTGGTGGGAACAGGTAAGAAGCTTAGCAGAAACTGAGTTCCTGTACTGTAGTAGGGGAATTGTCCAGTTCCTGTATACAACTACAAAGAGTCCTCTATTTCCTTCCCTTCTTTCACTTCCTCACAAATCTGTGTGGTTAAAGGGAACTGAAAAATCATAAAGTAAGTTTTTGTGCCTTGAAAGTGTAGATAAGAGTTTAGACCTCAGCCTTTTCAAAGCATCCTGTGAGGGAGAGCTGCATGCAGTCATGAGTGCAGGAGAGAGTTACGTGGTGTCTATTCGGTATAATATAAAAAGTGGATCTGAATTCCTGTTCTAAACAGGAACTTGTCCCTGTTCTCACCCAGCTGACAAGCTGAATACTTCGTGTTTTGCTATTTTTATGCAATTTAAAGTAAAAAGCTGATATTGGGGCTCAAACTTCAAGAGTGAAGTTGTTTGTGATTTGATGGTAGTCCTGATTCCCTGAATGGAAAAGAAATCACACAAGCTGGAGGCAATTTATTTATCCATAGGACTCAGAAAGACTTCAGAGGTTATCCCACAGTAGGACTGATTCATATTGTTCTAGAAACCACCAGGAAATTTCAGATACTTACATGTTTTAAAGAAAACTGTGCTGATTGAAACTACTCCTGACTTTGTCCTGTCCAAGGAGCCTAGATCCTGGTTTTGCTCGTGTCCCACTAGCATCTGAAGTTGGCATGCTGTGTAAGTGGAAAGATTTTAAAAACCTGTGAGTAATTGCTGCCTACATTCTGGGTGGTCCAAAGAGGATCTTGCAGCATTTACCTGAAGTGCAGTCTCATGGATAAAAGCTGGATTTTGTCAGCTGCTGAGAGGTGTTTGTGTGCTAAGCTTGGTTACACACCATCTCCAGTAATGCTGAATATGTGCATGAATATGGGCTTGGGTAATCGAGAACACTTGCTTTGTAATTAAGCTTTTTGGAAACATAGCTTTACTTTGAATTATAAGGAGTTTTGAATAACTGGGGTTGTCCTAAAAATTTAAAATGTCCATCAGACTCTCCTGGAGGAGTGCTATCTGTCTCTGGTGCACAGAAAGGTGCAATTTCATTTGCAGTATTTTGCCCACCAACAAGCGAAACATACACAATGAGATTTTAATCACATGCATTTTTTTCCCTGGTACTTTTTCTCTCTTAAGCCAGCATCAGCCTGCAGGATTCATGCTGGTCTGCAGCCGTGGGAGGCTACAGGTGGCACCTCTCTGCCAGTTGAACTGCAGAGCTATTGCAGTGACAGCTTTTCAGTAAAGTGACATATTTGCTTGTTAAAGCCAGTGTTGGAGCTTTCTGCGGCTTTCCCTCTGTTTCCAGCTTAATGTTCAGAATTTGACAGCTAGGGGAAAAAAATGTCTTGTGGGTGCATCATAATCTGTCTCAAATTGCTTCTAACAGATACTAAAATAAAAAGGAAAATGATACAGGCAGCGCTAGCCCATTCCACATGTGTTCTCACTTGGGATCGCTGCTCCGAGTCGTTGCGATGTGCATAGTTCAGGTGTCTGCTGCAGTGCCCAAGTCCTAAATCACTCCGTGCTGTGCACAGCAAGCAGAGCAACTGGGGGCACTGCAAGTGCCAAAACCACCACTAGCTTAAAAGGACAGATAGATCTTCACACACGTGTGCATGCACAGCCTGTCAAAAACAAAGCCAGGTTTGCTCTGAGGAGTAGACAGAAACTTCCGTAAGGAGAGAGAGAATAAGGAGAGAGAGAGAGAGAGAGAGAGAGTTAAAATGGGAGAGAAAAATTCCTTATCCTCAACAGGGCTTTAACATATAATTATATTGGTGTGATTTGATTGAGAAGTGTTATTAACATTATAATGTGAAGCATTCCATCTTCAATAGCTTCAGGGGGACTGTAAGGCTCAGGGTGACTCCTGACTTGGGATATCCTGTTTCCTTTTCCTTTTTAAATTCAGGACATAAAGACCACTTCTAAGAACCTAGTATTTTTTTGATAGGATCATTTGCCCAGCTCTTTTAAGCCATCCTTGGGCACAGAGGATTGTTAGTAATTAAAAAAAAAAAAAAAAGAAAAATGTATACTGTAATTGCACTGTCCTATTTTAACAGTCTTTATGTCCCCTAGTTTTTAAAGACTGATTTTAAACAGTAAATGTTTCTTTGTATTTGAAAATACTACCATATATAGAGATTACATTTTTTAAAGTCTTTACATTGAAAATGAAGGTGACTCATTGGATTGTTGTTTGTAAGACAGGACAACATGCTGTCAGGTGCTCTCAAAACAGATCATAAAGATGATTCTGGTGATAGGGAGCTTGAAACTAGTGCTTTTCTCATTTACCAACTTGACAAGCAAATGATTTCTCCACATCCAAGCAGGTGGAAAAGTTGAGGGTGGGGAAGAGGTGTTTTGTACATCCAAGATTTGCTGATGTTTTCCACGTGTAGTGATTTCTGTCGGTGTCGTTCTTATTTGTGCAAGCGCAGGAGTGCAAGTCTTGAGGTCACTGCGTAATTCCAGTTGGAGCAATTTGCCATTTGCCTTGATAAACCTTTCCCTGCAGTTTCAGATTGGAAGCCATATACTTCCTCAATCACGCTCCCAAATTGTTGCCTGGTGTGGCTCTGTGCTATTAAAAGATGGCCATGTGTAACCCCAGTGGTGGGCGAGCGGGAGCCCAGCGCTGAGCGCTATTCCATGTCCTCTGTGGGAGGGCTCAGAACAGTGTTTACATTCTGGCTCTGCTGCACTGTGCAGTGGGGAGGTGAGCGAGGTCTGAATCCCAGCTCTGTTGCCCTCCAAAGTTGTACATGTTCCAACCCTGTGCATCTGTATGCATCCAGCTCTGTCATCCCGCTTCCCAGGCGCGCTCCTCCTCCAGCCCCAGTCAAGCAGCTCCTCTCCATCTGGAGCTGCTCTTGCCAGAGCTTGCCTAGGTACACATGGATGATTTCCAGCCTGTCTGCCCGAGCGAGTCTCAAGAATAAACCCCAAATAGTGCAACTCCTGGTGTAACATGAGGAGGATTTCACTGCTGACTGGACTCAGGTTTTTGTAAGCGCTTCAGTTTTTCGAAGTTCAGAGTTGACATCAAACTGCTTTTCAGGACCAGGAATATAAAAGCTTAACGTTGCTGCTGCCTTGGCCTAAATTCTCCCAGGTTGGTGAGACCCCCAGCACATTTCCAGCCAGGACTGCATAGACACAATAGCTCTGTAGCTGAAATTTTTGGTGAATGATACAACCCTTGTGGTGATACAGAAGGTTAGCCGATCAATTTAGTATCACTGAGCATCTTTCTTACACATTTGCATCCTCCTTAAGCAACCTAACTAGATGCAGTTGACAATTTCCATATAATTAGGTGGGGAACCAGTACATACTATTATTTTTAAACATTTGTAAATATGCTGTTACTTGAAGAAATTTTAGGATTCTTTGTGCAATTTTAGTACTTCTTTGTGCATTTAAATCCTAGAGAAAAAATGCCTTAAATGCATAAATGCACTTCCATAAATAGGAAGTGCACACCTAAATATATATTTTTTACTATATATGCTTCCTTCTTTGTGAACTGGTGTTTTATAGACATTTTAGGAAGGTAGGAAAAGGCACTGTAGCTTATAACTATGTCAAATCCTACTTGTTTCACTTACAGCACTGCAAGAACCTGTAAATGGACAGTGTTTGTTTTTTTTGTTTTTCATAGCTTGTACCTCTGTTCAAGCCACAAGTTACATCTGAAACAGATACAAGATACTTTGATGAAGAATTTACAGCACAGATGATAACAATCACTCCTCCTGACCAAGGTAAAGTTTTCCCAAATGTTTCTCACTGTGTCCTCCAGACCACTAGAAATAATTTGCTGTGATGTTAACAGCTCTCTTCAGCTATGTGAAAAAGCATCAGTTTAAACTTGCTGGTTTTCCATATGTACTTGACCTAGAAGTTGGTAAACTGTTGTGAAACTTTCCACATGTCTTTCCAGTTCGGGAAATTAAAAACCTGTTTTATAAGAGTGAAATTATTTGTACTGTTTTCTTTTCCAACTCTGCACATTCCCACTGGAAATTAATTCTGATAATGAGTTCTGCACATGTCCATATCCACACACACTGTGTATATGCAAGCAGTCAATTGAGCATGGACTAATGTCCATATTCAATCAAAATATACTTTATTTTCTTGGTAACTGAGCATGTTTGTTGCTGTCAAATATAAATTTCCAGAAATTCAGAACAGTGAATATGGATTTAAGCTATGCAGCTTCTACCAATTTTTAACGGACATCCAAACAACTCTGTATATACACCAGTCAGGATCTGGTGTGATCCCCATTTACTGGGGGGAGATTTAAGACTTTCTCTTTCTTTGTCCTTTCAAGTTGTAGAAGAAAAAAGGCAACACTGAAATTTTCTGAAATAACTTTACTGTGCAATATCTTACTGTTTGTTTACTTAAAATCAAAAAGGTAGAAAATATTGTCTAATGTCGTTTTCCTCTTTCAGATGACAGCATGGATTGTGTAGATAACGAGAGAAGACCTCATTTTCCTCAGTTCTCCTACTCAGCCAGTGGAACCGCTTAATGTTTTGCCATTCAGAAACAAAACAGACTGCATTTTGGGGACCTTACTTCAATGGACACTAGAGAACTTTCTATATTATCTGAATTACAAACTGTGTTTGTATTACGATTTAGATGACTTTGTAGGAAGCCTCACAGATTCTGTATTTAAAACAATTCTTTGATGCATTTTTGAGAAGGAAAACGAATCCATTCTTTTAAGTATTACGTCAAGGCTTTTATGCTGAATGACCATAGGTTTTTAAGAACATACACCAAAACTGTTTACTTTAGAAATAATTAAGGTATTCAACATATCAGCAACTCTGACCAGAAAATCCCCTTATTTTATTTATTTCATACAGTTCATTATCTAAATATAGAATCTGCACTCTGAACAATTAGATTTATATAGGAAGATATAAGACTTTAGTAGCTAGTGCAATAATATAAGCAACAAAGTGAACAAACTCTGGAGAGTCAAGGTTCAAACTCATTTTGGACAGCAGTGAAGCATCATCTAACTCCAGAAAACCAACTATAGGAACAGCATTAATGGCCTCAGTGAGGTAAATCAAAAAGCAAAAGTTATTTTTGTTATAACATCTGCTACAAGACATTACATATCAAACTGAATCCAGTGGGATTGCCACATCGTACAGATGAGTATTCCATTCTAGACAGTGCATTTAATTATTCCATTTGCATAGAGCTTAGGAATACTTCATAGGATTGGCTTCTCAGAACCTAGAAAATGCTTGATTTACCAATCTAATATGAAATGCAACAATGAAAAATCACCCACTTCCACCACTGTACAGAAATACCACACAGGTCTAAGTGAGAAATCATCTTAATGAGCGAATCAGCCAGACACAAGTACATTTTGGCACTGAAGTAATGACTTGTTGCCGCTTTTTTTTTTTTTTTATGAAAAGATATATGAATATATATAAACACTTAATGATTTTTTGCATCATGCCAGATCATTTCTTCTTTCTTGAGTGTGCATTAAAGGTATCAACCAACAGTTCATGGTGCCTTCTCACTCTTGAAGATTCACTTTAACAGTGTTTTCCCATGTAAAAAAAAAAAATAGGTTGAAACTTCATATGTGTTTGAATAATAATGGTGTTCAAAAAGTGAACTTTTATTTTGTTTTTCATTTTTAATCTTAGTGGAAAATTCCCCTCACCCTATTTTTGTTGTATCATGTTTCTTTGTAATTTTCATAAAAGCAGTCTTATTCTGTCTCTGCTGCGAATGAATTTATTCCATTGTAGGTTGCGTTCTTTAAATTGCGCTTTTTTTTGTTTTTTTTCATTCTCTTGACTGTATAAAAAATGATGACATGTACTCCAGTTAACTAGCATTTAATTTTTTTATTTGAAAGGGAGTATGTTATGAAAACCCTCGCTTCTCCTTTCCATCAGAAACTGCTGTGCTTGCACAGAGAGCCCATCATCTTGACTTTTTTTTTTAACAACATTCAACTCTAGTATTTTTACTCATGATATGAAAATTTCCCTCCAAATACTTAAATAAAATTGCTTTAACGAGTTAGGTTCTTATTTCTTGTGGTAGGAGCCTTCTGAATTTGTAGGGATGCAACAACTGCTCCAGTTTCTCAAGTTTGTGTGTATCTCTGAGGGATTCAGGCTGTTCTGTCCCTCCTCAGTTGTTTCATCTCTGTGTTGATCATTATGCAAAGATAATTTTGGAAAATGTTTGTTCAAAGAAATGCACCCTGTGCCAGAAAGTTTGTCTTGAGGTGAATGAGGACAGGCCTCGTTTTGCTGCCTTCCTGATGCCAGTGAGAATGTGTTACTGAGGTCCTGATCTGCAAAGATGTTTCTGTTCCATCACTCAGGCCACTGTACAGTCTATAAAACTATGTTTCCTCTCTCAGGACTAACGTTAATCACAGGAGGTGGTTATAGGAGGCTGGAATGTCCATTTTCAAACGAGAATACAGAGAACAGTACAAGAACATGCACTAACAACTGCAATGTACCTCAAACTCAGCACAGAAGCTGCGACTGTAGTAAGCCATTAAATATCCAACACATGTTTTGGTTCAAGGAATAAGCTGTAATTCCTGGTGCAATTTACAGCATGTTTTATGCAAGAAGGGAAGGGGAAAGAAGGGATCTGTGTCTCTCTAGAGACTGGACAGCCTGTCTTATTCTGCTGGTCTGATCTTGTAACTGCTCTCCTTCCTTTGCTTCCAAGCCTTCACCCGAGTCTCCAGCCAGCCCAGGGACGAAGTCCAAGGAACTCTTCTGCAAGTCTACAAGTACTGACAAGTTCTGAACTAACACACTTCATGCATCCAAATATAGGCAACACGAGTGAGCAAAGGTTACTGTAATCTGCCCCAGGAAAATCTGGTCTTTCAAATGCAGGAGCAGATGTGGAACGGGTTGTTCTGCTGAGGATGATTATGTCTCAGAACAGTATTTTTCTGCCAGTTGTTGCTAATTGTTTTAGTTCCCTTATATAAAACATAACATAAAGAAACCAAGCTGCCAAAAATCTCTGTGAACCTTAGTATTGTTGGCAACCAAGAACTGTGGGGGCCACACCTGAATGCCAGGTCTTCTGGATATTTTCCCTCATTTTGCCAGTGATTATTTAAAACACCTTACCTGTTGTCCATAATTGAATGATTACAGGTGTATCAGTTGTCTATCTGCAAACATAAAATGTGTCCTTTTTGATTTAGCACAGAAAATCCTATCACAGAAACCTGTGACCTGAATGTCATTCACCTCAGGTTCCTTTTGTACCATATATGCAGAGACTTCTTAAATCTTGCACGTTTCTTTAACTCTTTTATTTGAAAACCCAAAACTTTTCGAACTTTCTTCACAGCCAAAACCTCCTCATTCTTCCTTCTGGCATTGTAAAATGTCATCTTGCTCTGGTGTTACACATTGCAGCAAAGATGGTGCATCCCAGGTTCTGAACACTGGTAGTATACGTATGTTACAGCCCAGGAACTTGGTTGTAAACTCGGGTTGGGAGAAAAATAGGGAAAAAAAAAACCTTGGCAAGAGCAAGTGAGTAACTTGCAGTTAGTTCTGTGTATGCCTCTGAGTGCAGTCAGGAGTTGAGGTCAGCTGAGCAGTGTTTGAAACAGATGCACAGCCCTGTGTGCTGTTTGGGGTTAAGAGGTATGGGCAGAAGCCAGGTAATTCTGCAAATTCCATTTTATATTCCCTTGTGTAACTAAAACATCCAGTACAATCCCATTAGGATATGGCAGGCTGTTCTCCCTTTAAACTGGGTGAAGATAACCGTGGTTTATAGTATTCCCAACTCTGCACAAACTGTGACCTCTCAGCCCCCCAGTAAAATAAGTTGCTTTTTCTTCATTTTTCTTTCTGCACCATCACCCCTCCAGCAGGTGAACTCCACCTGCTCTCCAGCTGCTGCACTGCTCTCATGCAGGCCTCAAGTACCTTGGCTGCTGTTTGAATTTGCTCCCAGTTTTCCACCTGAGAAATAAATTATGGTAGGTTTTGGAGTTTTGAGGGCAAAAACTTGCCTTGATAGTTTGAATTGGATGATCTTTGCCATAACTGGTGGTGAATTTTCTTGTCTGCTACTTTGGATTGTGTATGTGCATTGAAATGCTCAGTGCAAGAGCACTGTATTCTTGTACTTGTGAGTGTTTGTGGGTAGCTTTAAATCTTTGTCAGAGAAAATACCCTTTGCTTTTAGAGAGCACATGCCAAAACAAGATTTTTATCTCCAGTAGCAGGATTTAGGATGGTGGTCCCAGATTAGAGGTCACGACCTACAATGAGAGTGCAAACTCCAAGGAGACAGAGTTGCAGAAGAAGAGCCCACACCCAGAAAGTGCCTGTGAGAGTCGTATGGATCTTCTGCCTGAGAAATCTTGGGGAAATAAATTAGAAGGATTGATTTATTTCAATATATCTAGAAGAGCTTCAGAGGTAAAAACACATTTGGAGAAACAGGCGAATGTAAAAGGATCTTGTTTCTTCAGTGTTGCAAATGAGTGTGTTTGTCTTCCACTTCCAGTGCAATTTTTTTAATAACAGGGAGGTTAATTGCCACGAGGAGTAAAATGCAAAGAACACACAGTGCCTATAGCAAACAGGAGCTTATTATCCCCACTGCAGCTGAGCGTGCAGACGTGTGGTAGCTGTCTGGTGGAGCATATGTTGCATTCTAATCAGGTGATGAGTAGTTGCTCTGTGTCTGAAACCATTTTAAACAAACCCATTTTGTTACAGTAGCTCCTGCTTGACCCTTTTTTTTTTTTTAATTTTAATTTTTATAACTGCTGGGTCGCCATCCTGGTTTTGTGAGCATGGTGGGTTCTTTTTTAAGGATCAAATCAAGGACTTCATCTGTAAAAACTTAACTTCCCTCTGTGGTTTTTCGGTGTGCTCGTAGCTCAGTTCTGTTCCTCCTTCACTGAAGTGCTGCTTCAGTTTTTTGCCTGTTAGTGCTCACTACCTGTTCTCTAGAGACAGGCTTTCTGAATTTCTTCCTGTGTTAAATGTAACCCTGGTCTAAGAGGCCACTTCTAGGAATTTTTCCACACTGCTTCTTCATGTCTGCTGTCAGATTACTTTAACTGCTTGTATGTTGCATCTTCATCAGGGCTTTGAGTTTGTTTCAAGCAGATAAATGGCAACACAGCAGTTGCTGTATTTCTGGATTCTGAAGGTCTCCCAAATTCTGCATATTGTTAAAATAATACATAATATTCACCCCGCAGAAAATGGTATAACTATTTTGATACAAGAGTGAAAATTCTTCAGAGAGGAGAAACAGACCTTAGACCTTACCCCAATTGTTGTGATCTTTAGTTATTTGTAAACTCTGCCACATCTATTTCTTTACACTGTTGTGTCCTCACAGTACTGATGCTCTCAGCCAGAAAGCTGAGAAAACCTGTATCAGAACAAAAAATAGTGACTGTGATCTTAAGCAGAGTGCCTGGGAATTCATTGAAATTGGATTCAAGTGAGCATGAAAGCCATGCTTAAACATACAGTTTTGGAGAAAGGCAAAATCAGTAATACTGTTCTTCCTTCATTGTGTTGAAGTGCAGCAGTTGGAACAAATTGAACTCCTTTGGGGTTCAGTGTTCAAAAAAATGGGGTTCAAATTGAGGTCTTGTGACCATGCTTGGAACAGGGGCATGGGGCTGGACCATCTCCAGAAATCCCTGCAAACCACAACTAGTCTGTGAGTCTCTTTAATGATTTAGTCTCTCTAATGATTTGAGAGCATGTGCTTTAGTGAAGGAGGGTCTTTGTGGATTTTTTTCTATCTTCTCTGGTATAGATTTATACTTCCAACCTGATACGACCTGCCTACTGTTTTCATACAGTCTGTGTGACTTGACACCAGCCTTGCTTTGAGATGGTTCCAATAGTACAAATTCCCCATTTGTGTCATTTTCTTTGATGTCACTGGCCCTGGTCATCCCAAGTTTGCTGCACTTACTGTTTTAAGCAAAGCGCATATCTTTTGTTAAATTCATCCACATTTTATTGCATTATAGTTTTGTAAGTAATTTCCTCAGGGATATGAAGAGTACTTTGTATTCTGGCATATTGTCACTTACTGAACTGGAGGATGTCAGTGCATTCCTCTAAAGCAGGAACACCAGGCACTTGCCCTTACATTCCATGAGATGAACCAGATGATCTTTAAGGTCCATTCCACCCCAAACCTTTCCATGATTCAATGGTTGTGTGGGTGAAGGCAGGCTGGATACTCTGGGCTTCCTTCTGGCATGGCAAGGGGAGAAAACCCTGAGTGATATTTACTCTTCTGGGAGAAGGATGATGTCTGCTCTGCATTAGGACTTGCACTCTGACAGGATTCCTGGGCTGTTTTTGGGAGGCTGCAGTAACACCAGCACCACCAGGCACTTCCATCTCTGCTTGGTGTTGGTGGTCACAGGTTTTCCTTTCCACAGTGCCACGCCTGAAACAAGTTCCTATACTGTCCTTTACACCTGTCTGATGCAGGTTGCTCAGAAATTGTTCCTCATGCAGGCAGGAGCTGCCAGCTCCCCAAAGGTGGCTGACACCTGGAGCTGCACAGCTGCACCCTGTGGATTGGCATATGTTTCCAGTTTGCCAACTGCTGCAGAAAATGCCAGTTTGACTTGGTTCTCCTGATGGAAGTGAATCCAGCAGCTCAGCACATGTCATCAGGCCTCAGTCAGGAGCCCTGGCTTGGCTGTGAGGGCAAGGGGTGCTTTAGAGGCTCCTTACCCTGAAACTGGCTTTTCATTTTAATTCAATGAGGTGCAGCTCTCATTGAGGTGCAGCTCTGACTTTGGAGAACAATAACAACACCTTCTCCCACACACAGGCCTGGAGACGATACAGCATTTGAGTGATTTTTTTTTTTTAATAGCTAATGGACTTTTCTCACACATTTGATAAATTGTTCCAGTGACTTTTAAAGGGTTTATGGATGTGCAGAAAGATCAAAATATGAGCCCTTCGTTGAACTTCAGTAATGAAAAATGGAATTATACTATTAAGATGGTTGCAGCATA